GAATTCCCTTCTAAAACATTCCATCTCCTTATTTTCTTGGAGACTTCTGAACAAGATGGTTCCCATATATGACATACTCAAACTCAAAGGTTTAAGGCTCCCCTCCATTTGCCACTTGTGCAAGTGTGGGGAGGATTCCCTTGCTCGCATTTTTCTATCTTGTAGGTTTGTTATAGATGTCTGGAGGAAGTTTGTTGCTCTATTTTCCCTATCATTTTCAAGGAGGGGCTACACGTCTCTCCATGATTATTTTGCTGATTGGAGACAACATGGAAATCATGTACACCATTACACCTATTGTTTTCATTGGTTTCCTTGGAATGTAAGAAACAATCTTAAGCACATCAATATTTTGGAGGACTCTAAGACTACCTTTACTCGAATTCTTTCAAATCATCACAAGGTTGTTAAATGTGGCAAAGAGTAAACATTTTCCAGATCATAATGGTTTCACACATGGGATCTACCTCACTAATCATTCTCTTAGATCTTCCTTGCAACTCATTTTTTGGAGTAAACCTAAAAAACATTGGATAATAGAAAATGTGAATGGCAATTTCAAAATTCAATGTGCTAGCATTAGTGGGGTCCCTCTGAAATCACATGGTTCTTGCTTTGGCATTCTTCTCCTCCCCGTCGACTATGGTTTCCCCCTTTCGGGCAGAGCTTGATGTTGTGCTTACTACTCTCAGGATTGCAAATACAATGGTTAGTCAAGACTACAAGTTGAGATGGATTTTTGGCTTTTATGGAAATGTTGCACCATGAAGGGCCTATTCATTGGGAAATTCACCTTGGTTTCACAAAAAGTACCCACATTTCCAAATATCTCTTTGTTTCATGGTTACATATCCACAAGTAGGGCTATGAGTCTGCTGACTGGCTTGCCAAATTTGGTGCTTCTTCCCTGGCTGTCACTTTTAATTCTTCTTTTTTTTTGTCCTTTTTGCTTGATGGGGATGGGTTCAATCTTCCTTTTATTAGAAGCTCCCCAACTCCTTTATCACCTTCTCCTTTTCTAGTAACACAAGTTTACTTTGCTTTAAAAAAACAATATGTAATTATAGGTGTGGTTTTATGTGGTGTAAAAAAAAGACATCAAGTTTCTCATTTTTTTTTTCTTATTTAGATTACTTCTTCTGTAATATCATCACTTGCACTTTCTATTATTCTTATATCAGCTTTTGAATTATGTCCCTATTTTTATAACTCTTTAAATATTTTTTTCAAGTTCATGATGTATTTCTCCACCTACACAATCATTCTAAATTTTGTATCAAAGTATTACAATCTCTTTTTAATGGAGTAGACTCCCTTTTTAAATTAAGTTTTTCCTTGTTCATGTTTTTAAGAGATGAAAATAGTTCTTAGCAAAACAAGCAAGTTCATCATAGCTTACATCATATACTGGTTCAACATACGATTTCCTAAAATCATTGTCAGCCATCAAGCATATGTTGGTGATTTCTTTTCAATTTCATATTCTGATTCAAAGTTGTTCAAGAAAGCTATTTGCATTTTGATTTTGTTCTTACAATGTTCACCTTACTCTTCTTATTTTTCTTTGGAGCAAGCACTTATTAGGTCCAGGGCAGCCCTGTTTTGTATGACTTGGTTTATTACACTCAAATATCTCAAGTTTTTGTTAACATTTTTATCATTTGTAAACATTCTACCAAGAGCATGTAAAAGGATGTAAAGAAGTAATGATTTTGATAAAGCACATGTATATTTCAACAATGCTCCGATTTGAATGCATCAAAAAAATTTCATATTCATATATGAGACATCAGTATGCAAATCATTTTCAAATTTAATAGGTGGAGAATAGCCAACTTAAACTAAGCGTTTGTTTGGGGCAGCTTATTTAGTGCGGTGACATTTTGAAAACGCACCTGACCTGTTTGGGTAAACTGCGTTTTGACAGCTTATGCGTTTTCAAAACGTGGAAAACAATGTTTTCACACCGCACTTATCTAAGTGCGGAGACAGTTTTCTGGCAGCAGTTTGGTTTTTTCAAAAAAATAAGAATTTATAATAACCGCCGTACCTAGCTTATCAGCATAATATTTTTTAATCAGCGTATCAATAGATTATTCAATAAGCTGCAACTGCCCCAAACAAACCCTAAGTTTCACATACAAAAATTAATAGATTGTGTAAAACTAGACATACTAATTTTTCAAAAATTAAACGAAATTTCATCAAATAGTGGAGATCGGGTAGTTGAATAACCTTCTAAACCACTACAATCACCACAACATGCCATAGTATTGATCTACTTGATAGGGTGTAATAATTTTACCAAGTTAGAAAATTCCTTTTGGCTTTTAAGAAAATTTATGTTGCAAATTTATTAAATTATTAGAGCAATCAGAATGTAAGTATAAGCAAACACAAAATGAAGGAACGATATTTACTAATAACATTAGTTAGGAGTCCCAAAATCATGCTAACGTACTAGCATTATTATCTTGTGAGTACAAAGTTCTTACACTGACTTACTTTTCTTGAGACCAAACACTACAACACGAAAAAAAAATTATGTCCAGACGTCCGAACAGCCAATTGTTGGGCATCGCGTCGCCCGGCACTGTCATGTATGGCAACATGACGGCCAGCGGTTGGCTGTCGTTAGGGGTGTAAACGAGCTGTACGCTCATACATGATATAAAGTCGGTCCCAAATTTCTTTACGAAAGTTGAAATACACATGTAATCTTCATATTTTGATGCATAAAACATAGTATTAAGCATGTATATTTTAATGGTTTGAGTTCTCTTTCTTCAATAGTCCATTCATTAAATGAGACATCAGTATGCAAATCATTTTCAAATTTAATAGGTGGAGAATAGCCAACTTAAACTAAGCGTTTGTTTGGGGCAGCTTATTTAGTGCGGTGACATTTTGAAAACGCACCTGACCTGTTTGGGTAAACTGCGTTTTGACAGCTTATGCGTTTTCAAAACGTGGAAAACAATGTTTTCACACCGCACTTATCTAAGTGCGGAGACAGTTTTCTGGCAGCAGTTTGGTTTTTTCAAAAAAATAAGAATTTATAATAACCGCCGTACCTAGCTTATCAGCATAATATTTTTTAATCAGCGTATCAACAGATTATTCAATAAGCTGCAACTGCCCCAAACAAACCCTAAGTTTCACATACAAAAATTAATAGATTGTGTAAAACTAGACATACTAATTTTTCAAAAATTAAACGAAATTTCATCAAATAGTGGAGATCGGGTAGTTGAATAACCTTCTAAACCACTACAATCACCACAACATGCCATAGTATTGATCTACTTGATAGGGTGTAATAATTTTACCAAGTTAGAAAATTCCTTTTGGCTTTTAAGAAAATTTATGTTGCAAATTTATTAAATTATTAGAGCAATCAGAATGTAAGTATAAGCAAACACAAAATGAAGGAACGATATTTACTAATAACATTAGTTAGGAGTCCCAAAATCATGCTAACGTACTAGCATTATTATCTTGTGAGTACAAAGTTCTTACACTGACTTACTTTTCTTGAGACCAAACACTACAACACGAAAAAAAAATTATGTCCAGACGTTCGAACAGCCAATCGCTGGGCGTCGCGTCGCCCGGCCCTGTCGGGTATGGCAACGTGGCGGCCGGCGATTGGCCATCGTTAGGGGTGTAACCGAGCCGAACACGAACGAGCTCAGACTTAGCTCGTGTTCAGCTCTTTTATATTTCGAGCTCAAAAAGTGTGTTCGTGTTCGGCTCGCTTGCTTAACGAGCCGAACACGAGTCGTTCACGAACAAACAGTTTTTTTGACAACCTTAATCATGTAACCATAAGATGTTAAGCATTTGACAAGATTTAAAACATCATTTGAATCTAATTAATAATTTGCATTCTATCTTCTTCATTAATACTTTTAATTGATTATAAATCTTTTTAGCCTTGTAGTCAATTAATTTTTTTAATAATATTTCGAGTCAAAACGAGCCGAACACGAAAAAACAAATATTAGTTCGTGTTGTTTGTGTTCAGCACGTTAACTTAGCGAACGAGCCGAACACGAGCTTCTTAACGAAACGAACATGCGAACAACGAACGATTTTGACAGCCATAGCCGTCGTAGTGTGAAGTGTCCGAATATAAAATTCTCTTACAACACAAAAATACTTTGATTTGATAACTTTTTTCCTAGATCCTAAGGGGTCATAATCAACCCAGTTTTTCATAATTTCACCATGCCAAGAAATATATAGAATAATTAAAAGAACTAAGTTTATATATTAGATAAATAGTTGTAAAATTAACTAGTTTTTTATCTATTATTTTATAATAAAAAAATAATCACATGCAGAGGCAAAGTTATAGGCATAAGCCAGCATGCAAGTGCCAACATGCAGCTCAGTCACATTGCAAGAATAGCCATATTGCAGCCACAAAATAAATTAAAAAAAAAGGTTTTTTTACATGCACGGCACCCGAAACATTGTTATTTATAAATCTAGCACCCTCTTTCATCCATTTTTCAAATTTCCCACTCAAACTACTAAAATTCATGATAAAACCACAACCCATATTCTTCATTTTTATCAAATTGTCAATGGTTTGATCATGGCACTCCAAAATACATCAGTTCGGTAATTCAAAATTATCACCCGGGCGCTAGATTTCAGGTGTTGTGTATGTAATTATCCCAATAAAAAACAATAAAAGAAAAATAGAGAAGCAGCATATTGCAAATAGAAGAGAATAACAATGAGCATAAAAGCAAAACACTAAAAAACCATAACTATTCTGTGAACAAATCGGATCTAGGTTGTTATTAGTACAAAATATTTCTTTAATATTGTTATGAACATCAACGAATGGGGGCACATTTATATGCTAACAGTTCATGATGAAATTAAAGAAGCGCAGGATCCTTCAGTTAAGTTATAGAAGAACTCCATGGCTGATGAACGAAGGCATGATGTTGTATTTCGCAATATGGCAAAGACTAAAAGAGCGGTGCTTCTAGTGAAGACATTCTACTTGCAGCCGATTTGAGAAGTCTGCATCAGCTTCACATGCCTATCTTACAGCAAAATTGGTGGTATAAATCATGAGAAGAGACGCAGGAAATTACTGGCGTATGCCATTGGCATGACATTGGGATGTGGCTGCAAGAATTAAGTTCAACGAACACGCAGAAAAAAGCATTAGTCTAAATTGATTGAGACAAAAAAAAACAAAAAAATGAGCATAGAAGTAAAACAAGTAGAACCAAGATCTTAAATGGATTCATAGGATGCTAATCAAATAGTGTGAGTTTGAGAGTCTTTTGGCAGCCAGTTACAATAGGAGCTCCTTTTAAATGGATTCATAGGATGCTAATCAAATAGTATGATCATATGATTCTAATAAACCTTGTAAAACCCTTAAGGAATGGCAAACTACAGGTGAAGCGAATCAGTGACTAGAACAGAAGCAAAGAAATGTTATGGCACGGTTTCATGTTGTTAATTATGGTCATGCACACAAACAAGATGAAGGGCCTGCTTATAGTCATAAAGCATACTAATGAATAGGATCAAGATGGAATATTGGATTTTTTTTTTTTAAGAACTGGTAAAAATTAAACTCGAATCAAGAAAAATAAGTAATCAGAAAGTTCTAAAAATTCTACTCACCACTGCTGAAAATGTCACAATGTCTGGTTTCATCTCTGGGGCCTTGAAGCGTATGAGAGCACCTTTATTTCCCATCTGTATCAAAATAACAGTTCATCCAAACAGGCATTTATTAAATGGAGACAGCATTGAGCAGAAATGCTTCATTATTGACCAGAAATGTTAGTATTCTTACAATAACAAGTGTTACTTGATAATCTAATAAAGCACATATGCATAACGAAATTAAGCTCATGCAATGAAGAAATTCTCAGATGTGCCAGTTCCGTTGCCTGTGGGTGAGTGAAAGGGAGGTGAGATACCACTCATCTATTTTATTTTATTACTATATGAAAGGAAAGAGAAAGTACTATTTTCGAAATCAATTATCCACCAAAAAAGGAGAAGGCTATATCAAATAGTCTGAACTCTTTACTGGAGACATTCTTTTTTCCGGATGGGAGATAATGTTTTGATTCATTTTAAAGGAGCTAACTCTAGTTTCCCATCAGTTCACTGATGAAGGAGAGAGAAAATTGCATATAATCACGCAAACAATGTGGGGATAAGTTGATCTCTAGACAAAAGCATGGCAGTGGAAGGACAGAGTGCTTCCTGTCTAACCATGCCATCGCCATCAACCACACAAGTCGCAGCAAGAGCAGTAACCCTTTGACGTGGGAGCTCCCCACAGGACCCTTTCAGGAATCCCTCCTGCGAAGCCGCGACCTGTGCTACAGTCCTGCAAACTGGACCGAATGCTGAGAAGCTTCTTGGGACCTGGGACCCATCAAAACAGTGAATTGAGGGCCGGCCAACCTATCCTAAGTGGATTTGGCCCCTCCTTTCAATAGTGAGCCCAATCCTAATTATCCAGGACTTATATATTTGATTCTTGTGCTTAGATTTTCAGTTTTTGTGTGTTTTGTATCGGGACAACCGCCGCGCCCCTTCTTGCCTTTGAGGGATTTATCCTAGGGTTCCAGGTGGTGCTTCAACTATATCTTAGTACCCATCTGGTGTTTATCCTTCCCCAACTCTACATCCCTCACACTTCACTGCCACGCATTCCTCATTACTGCAGGCCACCCTGACAACAGGCCTTTCGTTGTTTTCCTGCAGTTTTCTCGCTGTCCAAACCTTTTCCTCATGCCCCCATAAGGACAGCCTTCCTTTGGCTGTCCGACCGTTCACTGCATCCCTCATCATTGTTCCATTCCTCCATCCTCGCTGCCACCGCTGTTCCAGGCCCTTCTCATTTGCTGCCACTGCTGCTCCAGCCCTCCATAACAGCTGTCATCGCTGTTTCAGCCCTCCCCCTTCACTGCCATGATCCCAGACAACCGTCCCCCATCGATATATGTCCATACTTGTTGTCCGGAACCCAAGAAGCCATTGACTTGCTGTTTTCAGCTTGCTAGCCATCCTGTCCACCATTCCACCACCTTTCAAAACCTCGTTGATCACCACCACGAGATCTACCCTAATTTGAGGATTTGTGATTTGTTGATGTATTTTTCCTTTGAAGTGTGTAGGCGATAATCACCTATTATTTTCATCGATAATATTTGTTTTATCTATTATGGTTTGAGTTAGCTCTGGTATCATTTGGTATCAATACTAGCATAATCTTAGTCCTATCATAGAGTTTCTAGCATCCACAAATACCCAACCATATCTTCACCCAAAAATTTTCTTTCCTACCCAACATCACACCCACACACCCTTTCGCCCCTAAAACCTTGGTCATGCCACTTATGATAAATTCCCCAAAGGGATGTTGAGGAACATACCATGAAAGAGGTGCAACGGAAAATCCTCCAAGTGCAGCAGCTGCTTGCCGCCATCGAGAGGATAAAATTTGAATAAGTCACTCGTAGCCATAACGATGGCTTGCTAGATCGATGGAATAGAGTGAATCTCTTCCACCATGCAGATTCTAGGAATGAAGACCCTCTACCCCGAATATTTGACATAAAATATTTGAGAAGCCAAAATTTTAAAATAACAATGGATTTGCCACATTTTGACGACCACTTGAATCCGGACAAGTTCATCGAGTGACTTCAGATCGTGGAACTTTTCTTTGAGTACTCGAAAGTCTTCCCCAGACAAAATGATAAAACTAACTGCCAACAAGTTAAATAAGAGAGCATTATTTTGGTGGGAAATTTTGAAGCACCTACGCCAACATGAGATAAAAGACAATTACTATGTAGTCCAAAATTAAAAAAGAAATGCGGCATCAGTACCCACCAGCTCACTATAAACCGAATGTCATACCTTCAACTTCAAAAGTGGGGAGACAACATCACCGAATGACTACCACACCTTTACGAGTAGAGTTCGACACCAGAATCGAGTATCAAGAACACCAAGTGCAACAACCAATTCTTCATCTAATGAGAAACTAATTCAGAGTGTAGAACTGGTAAAGCCAATTCAAATTCCCAAATTTATCACAGTCATGAAGTGTTTCAAATGTTGTGGATTTGGGCATATCGAATCAGATTGCAAAGCCAGAAGAATGGTCTCTTTCACTAATCAGAGAGCAGTTGAAATCGGTGAGCCACGAGAGGATGAAGATTTCAAAATGAATTCTCAACATCCAACTGACAAGGAAGAAACATCAAAGACTCCAATGGAAGTAATACTAGTTGTTCGAGAAGAGGGTGAGTCCAAGGTAATAGCCATTCATGCAGAGTATGAAAATGTGATATATCAAACTATCGTTTTACAGGAGTTGAGAGAAGCATCAACAGGAATGACATGAGAAGTTTAAAAGGCCCATGAGTTTGGGGAACCGACAGTAAAAGCATGGCAACCCCATAGAAGAGAACTTCAGACATTGTAGATACATATGTTACTTCCTAAATTGCCCCTGATTAAGCAAGTCCAACACATATTAGAGATGAGGAGCTTTTGAGCTACTTCTAGAAAACCATATGAAGTCCTTTGAGCGGTAAAACCAGTTCAACAATATACCCACGCACCGGTGATCAGGCTGGATATATAAAATATATAACGTGAGCAATCACCTAAATTTTTTTTGGGAAAAGAAAATTCTACAGTGGGACCCAATCTTTTCCGAGCAGAAGAGGCTTCTCCTGAGTGGTTACATGTCAATGTGGTCTAGTATGTCATAAATGTCGTTCCAAAGTTGCTTCTTTCTAACATACATATTTATCAGATATATCTAGTCAAGTACGAATGGGAAAAGCATATTAAAGACTTGCTCGAGATTTGGCTCGTGAAAGTCTACATCGATATGCAGCTCCAGTTTCAGTTGTGTCAAAAGTGAGAATATTTAATCTATCATGATGTGTTTTGGAATAACAATGCCTGCATAATTAACTTATCGGGAGCTTGTAATATTTTTGTTGCCTTCAAAGGGGTCGACCAGACTATTATGAGAAAATAAAAGCTTCGACAGATGAGGTTTAAGCTCCCCCAACCTTGAAAGACTAACGGGGCAGCTGCCCACAGAACCCTTTCTGCGATCCTTGCTACAATCCCACAAGGCCCCAGCCATTGCTATAGACCCATAAACTGGACCGAAAGCAAAAAACTTCTAGCAACCTAGTACAAATCTTTCCAAGGATTTTGGCTCCTCTCAACAGTGGGCTCAATCCTAATTACCTAGGGCTTATATATTTGCTTCGTATTTTTATGTTCACTTTTTTTCATGTGTTGTACATTGGGACAGTCATCGTCTCTTCTTCCCTTTGAGGGTTGTATCCTAGGGTTCAAGATTTTGCTTCGAACCTTGCCCAATTCCTCTGCATCCCTCCCGCTTCACTGCCAAGCATTCCTCCTCGTTGTAGGATGCCCCAACAGCAGCCCTTTTGTTGTTTTCCTGCAGTTTCCTCATTGTCCGACCTTTTCCTTTCTACCCCCGCCCAGAACAGCATTTCTATGGTTGTTCGGCCGTCCATGGAATCCCTCATCACCGTTCCAGCCCTCAATACTCGCTGCCATCGCTGTTCCAGCTCTTCCCATTTGCTGCCATCGTTGCTCCAGAATCCATACCACCAGCTAATATCACTATTCCAGCCCTCCATCTTCACTGTCGTTGTTGTTCCAGCCCTCAATATTCCAGCCCTCCATCCTCAATCCATACCACAAGGCCCCCCCCCTGTTTGCCATCATCCCAAACAGCTGTGTCCCGTCAATATCTATCATGTAGTTGTTCTCCGGAACCCAAGCAACCATTGTGTTACTGTTTTCAGCTTACCAACCACCTTGTCCACCCTCCTACCACCTTTCAAACGCTCGAGGATCACCGCCACCACCCCGAGATCCACCCTAATTTGAGTGGTTGTATGTTTGTTGCTATTTCAGAGTTCCAAGTGTCATTTTTTATTTTCCTTTTCAAATGTGTTGGTTGTAATCGTTTATTTATTTTCAGTAATAATATTAGTTTTTCTTATTGTGATTTGGGTTAACTCCAGCACCAACCTTACAGAATAAAAAACTCATGGGCATGCAAGGGTGTCATATACTGTAAAGGTGCAAAAATGTTGTGAAAAACGACAACAATAAAGCGAAAAATTGAACGAGAAAAATTACACGCAGAAAAAACACCAGAAGGACGGACAGATTTACGTGGTTCGGCAAATTTGCCTATGTCCACGGAGCTGCAGAGGATTTTACTAGTTCGAAAAATTACACCGTCGAGCGCCTCTACGTTTATAAAAAAATCTTTATTTTCTTCTCTCCCTCTCTCTCTTATTCTCTTTCTCTTAGCTCTCAAGAGGACTTGGTTTGGCCTTGCTTAGCTTGGCTTTTAACATAACTTATAACAAGTCATAAGAGGTTATTTATAGAAACTAAGATAGTGGTAGGTGGGAGTGGTAGGGGAGCGGTAGGTGGGTTTGGTAGGTGAGAGGGAGGGGGGTTTGGTAGGTGAGATTCTTAATTTGGTAGCTAATTGTGGTGGATCGAGTTTCCATTTTACCCAACACAAAAGCCCTGGTATTCTATATAGAGCAAGTCGATAATGGGGTTTATTTCAAGCGACTCATCTTGCAATAATAATTCAAGGTTTTTAGGTCATATTTTGGCCAGCTTGGATTTTATAAAGCATATAAAACGCCATTTTCTTCTTTCTTCTAATGCACCTCTTAGCACGTACACAGAGGAATTCAACTCCACACAGTTAAAGCTCAAGTTCTATTATCAATTTTGATATGTTATATTAAAAAAAAATTTAAAAATAATCTATGAGCTAGAATGCGTATTAACTTATCTTCTTTGTTCTCATTCTTGTTAAGCAAAAACACCAGATAGAAGGATTGAATTCATCATATATCAGAGAGAGAGAGAGAGAGAG